ACATCTGTGCTGTATGTTAATAAAAGTGCCTGTGTGACATCTGGGACACAGCTTTGACTAAGAACTCTCTTTTTGTTCTTACTTTATGGCTTAAAAAAATATCGAGATATATATCTTATATCGCCATCCAGCTAAAAAATATCGAGATATGAATTTTGGGTCATATCGCCCAGCCCTAGTTTCACCAAAATTAAATCAGCTTGAGCTGTTACTGACAAAATTTGAACATATCTTAAAAACTGAGCACACTAGACTGCTAACAAACAAACATACAGACAAACAAACATGACCGATTACGTCCTCCCTGCCTCAGGGGTGTGAATGAGGGGTGGCTAAATAATAGTATTTATATGTTGTTTCAACAACAAAGGAGCTCTGAAGAAGTTTTTAAAACTCTAAACTTGATGTAGTTATAGTCAAAACCTTCAAGAGTAAGACCAAAGAAATGTAATCAGGTGTTGAAATTCTCCAGTGAAACAGTGCAATGATAACATAATTGGAATATGTCAAACTTTTTAAGATTCTGTAGCTTTTTTTTTTTCCAGATTAATTGTTCCTGAGGGACAAACATGCAAATTTTGGCACAGATTGTTTGTTATCTGCTTGTTGCTGTTATCTAAATAAGTCTGCAAGGGATAATAAATAGGGCTGAAATTCACAGTAAAGGACACTGTGTCTCTCTGTGTGTGCAAGTGTGTGGGTGTGTCCCTCAATGCATTATATGCTAGACTGAATGGCATATTTGTCCGTGAGATGTGGTAATTTGCTTCTTTATCTTTACTCAGTCACTATTGCGCTGTTGATATTGCACTCGTCTTTGAGGTGACAGTTTCTTCAGTCTTGTAGCATTTGTTTGTCTCTTTCAGTAAAGACCCGTATCTTTTTCCATCTGAAAGGATTACTGCACTGCCCCTTTAAATCCACCGGCAGCATGCATATGTCTGCAAGCCTGCTCCACCATCTACATGCTTCATCATGCTTTTCGGACACAGTCTTGGTTAAACACAAGCAATGTGAGGCAGGACTTACCCAGAGCGAAAGAGCTTGAATGTGTCCTGAAGGCAACACTGGCCATAACTCCCTGAGTCCTGCCTCCTCGTTCACTATCAGTCTGTTTTCTTCGGTACTGTTGTCCACTTTGCTGCTTGCTGACAATATCTGGCTTCTTCCTGCTTCCTACTGCAAAGCATGATGGGAGCAGCAGCCCCTCTTGTCCTTGGCAGCCTGTTGTCCGTGGAGAAGAGCCTGGCGGGGGGATGGGGAGAGAATATGAGAGAAGGAGAGAGTGAGAGAGGGGAACCGTTGTCTGTGGATGATGGAAACCATGGTAACTAAGCTCCTGCTAGTGCGTGTGTGTGCATATTAGTAAAGATGATGCATTTTGAGTATAAAATTTTTATCATATTTCAGTATTATCATAAGGGAATGTCAGGGAGTTTTTAATGTTTTATTTGCTTATGCTTCAAAAGTTATGTTATACATATTTCACCAGACACAGTTTTCTGTAGAAACAGGAAGCTGACCCTGTGACACTGACAAGAGACCAGCACAGAAATACATATCCGCAGAAGTTGACTTGCATTATATTATTCTTAGAAATTGACCTGCAACACACATACTCTGTGACACACACACACAGCTTGCATGCAGACAGACATCAGGACCTGCGTAACAGGAAATGTGATTATATTTGCATATTGACGATGTAACCTATAAAAATAAACGAATACTTCAGTTCGGTGTGATTTGCTCTGAGCTTTTCACCCGTGCAGCACGTTAACCTACACAAGTGTCTCATTGTTGTTTATTCACCTGACTGTTTGTTAACTGTAAATCTCTGACAGGGAACAAACAAATCCCGTTTTTTCCTATTCAGCTCATAAACACAGCTCATATTTACGCTGTCATTAATTTAACAATTAATGATGTCTTTTAAATCAGTGGTCTCCAAGCTTTTTTGCGCCACGGACCGGTTTATGCCCAACAATATTTTCACGGACCGGCCTTTAAGGTGTCGCGGATAAATACAACAAAATAAAACTAGTACCGGTACCGAAAAAAAGAAGATTTATTCATAATAATGGATTGATTTATATAGCGCTTTACAATGCCACTATTCATTCACTCTCACATTCACACACTGGTGGAGGCAAGCTACGGTTGTAGCCACAGCTGCCCTGGGGCAGACTGACAGAAGCGAGGCTGCCATATTGCGCCATCGGCCCCTCTGGCCAACACCAGTAGGCAAGTAGGTAAAGTGTCTTGCCCAAGGACACAACGACCAGGACAGAGAGCCCAGGGATCGAACCGGCGACCTTCCGGTTACAGATACGCTTCCCAACCCCCTGAGCCACGGTCGCCCACACATAACACACATGAAAAGACCCAGGAAAACCGAGTAAACGATAAAACCGATAACAAAATAACGCTGAAAACCGATAAAAACCCTGAAAACCATACATTTCACACCTGAGCCTCAACTCTCGTGGCCCGGTACCAAACGACTCACGGACCGGTACTGGTCCGAGGCCCGGGGGTTGGGGACCGCTGTTTTAAATAACAGATAAAAATATTCTGTGCCTCTCATGATCATCTGGAAAAGGGGCAGAATTATGCTCATTTCCTGCTTTAAGAGCTTAGTGTTGTGATTAGTGTGATTCACTATGTGAAACAAGCTGTTTTAGCTCCCTTCTCTCTTGCTTTCCTTCAATAACAGCAGGTTTGAACAGCAGGTGAAAGCTGGTGACAACAACCTTATTATTAAAATAATACAGGGTGGGCCATTTATATGGATGCACTGTAA